CCAACCTTTTGGAATTGAGGGGTTCTCTCTCTCTCTCTCTCTCTCTCTCTCTCTCTCTCTCTCTCACACACACACACACACACACACACACACACACACACACACACACACACACACACACTCTCTCTCTGGTATCACCGTAGCAGATTACTTTCACTTGTGACGTTGTGGTTGGGAAGTTGGGGCCGATTGTGAATACGTTGTTGCCATAAACCCGCGTAAGTGGCACCCACTTCCCAACCTTTTGGAATTGAGGGGGTCTCTCTCTCTCTCTCTCTCTCTCTCTCTCTCTCTCTCTCTCTCTCTCTCTCTCTCTCTCACACACACACACACACACACACACATACACACACACACTCTCTCTCTAGTAGCACCGTACCAGATTACTTACACCTGTGACATTGTGGTTGGGAAGTTGGGGCCGATTGTGAATACGTTGTTGCCATAAACCGGCGTAAGTGGCACCCACTTCCCAACCAATTGATTGAATTATTTTTTTTTCCCTCCCTGGGAAATTTTGTTTTCACGTTCTGATCTAACAGACTCGCACTGACTCGCACTGACTTGTCACAGACTGACACTGAGAGAGACAGGCGTGAAGGGAGTGACATAGATTCATCATAGACACACACACATGGCGGGTTGAACTCAAACATGCTCCACCGGACTGTCATAGACTCAGCCGGACAGACGCGGACTCAGACAGAGTCACACAGAGTCACACAAACTCAAACGGACTCACAGAGGCTGAAACAGACACTCACTCACCCGGATAGACACTGACTTACACCAATTCGCCCTGACTCACCCAGACTGACCCAGACTCACACAGACTCAAACAGACTTCAAGAGACTCACACAGACTGATTCGGTCCCTGACAAAGACTCGTCCAGACTCACACAGACTGAAACAGACTCATCCAGACTCAAACATACTCATCCACACTCACACAGACTCAAACAGACAAACACAGACTCACCAAGACTCACACAGACTCACCCTGACTCACCCTGACTCACCCAGACTCACACAGACTGACACTAACTGACACAGATTCACCCAGACTCACACAGACTCACCCACACTCACACTGACTTACCCAGACTCACACAGACTCACACAGACTCAAACTTTCACACACAGAGTCACACAGACTCACACAGAGTGCAGGGACACGGCTGGGACTCAAACAGACTGACACAGACTCACACTGACCCACATGGACTCCCGCTGACTCACCCTGAGTTACACTGACTCACCCAGCCTCAGCCAGACTCACACAGACGGCAACAGACTCACACAGAGGCAAACGGAATCACACACACTCAACCAGACTCATCACTGAGTTGCAAAGACTGCAGGGACTCATACGGACTCACATCGACTCACCCAAAAACACACTGACCCACATGGACTGACACAGACTCACCCAGAGTCACATAGACTCACCCAGGCTCACCCAGACACACCGACACACACACAAACACACACACACACACACACACACACACACACACACACACACACACACATACATAGACTCACATAAACTCGCACAGACAGAAGCAGACTCATCACAAACTGGAACGGACTGACACGGACTCACACAGAGTGGCGCAGACTCGAACACATTCAAGCCCTATCAAACAGACTCGAACCGACTAACACGGATTCATGACAGACTGACACAGACTCAAACACACTCAGATAGACTCAATGAAGCTGAAACGGACTCACAGACACTGACACAGACTCAAACACACTCACACAGACACACATTCACTCACAAAAACTCACACACACTCACACACACCCACACACACTCAAACACACTCCATCACATAGTGAGCACGGGCAAGTCATGACACTTTAGAGGACCTATCCCTACAGTGTGGCCTCACTTCCAACACGGTCGGGTAGTGGGCGTCGTTTACCAACCGATGGTCGGACCGTGCATGTTGAAATGGACCGCACTTGGCAACCACACATTAATTTTTTTTTGTTTTTTTTCACATGTTTGTGTGTTTGCATGTTGTGGTCCATGTGCGTTTAACCAGTACTGTTTGTGTGATGGCATGTTTCACTTGCTTGTACGCGTCTGTGCACATGTGCTCGTGACTTTTGATGCGTCAGGATATTTTTCACTCACAGTATGTGGAAGTGTTAGCTTGCATGGAAACTCACCGATTCTTCTGCCGAGAAACAAGTGTGACCATCCATACGTCACTGTTGTCCACACGGCCAATGAGACGCGCTGTCGGGACAGAAACCCCTGTAAGGGTTTCTGCCCAAGTTTTTCAAGGTCCGACACTGCCCGACCCTTGCTTGGATTGAAAGACTTGATGAGATTGACGTTGCCAAAGGTTATTCAGACCAACCCAATAACTAAGAAACCTAAAGCCTGGCGTCGTTGACGCGTGACGTCATTGACATTCGTTCGAAACAGCGGGAGTCGGCAGTGCGGCCTGTCGTCCATGGTTTCGGACAGGGCCGCGGTGGTGCGCGGTCATGAAAAGACTAAAGTTAGACCTATTTTACCGAAAAAAAATGTAGCGCGGCTGCTAAGCCGCGAGATTCAGGGCCTAAGCGGGTTAAAAAGGAGTCGTTGCGACGAGGATGGGACGCAGCGTGAAGGACAGTTAGTTTTAGGGCCCGCATGACTTTTGCGCCAAGGATCGGGGGTGATGGCGTTGGGGCCGGCTGGGTCGGGTAGCCGTTAAGGCCGTCGGCCGCTAACCCAGCCAGCCAGCCATGGTGGTATACAGGCTTAGCGGGCAAAGCCTGCTAAGCACCGTACGGGGACCTGCAGGGCGGCAGAAGCCCTTCATATAGAAGGGCTGCTCCTTCCTGTATGTGAAAAGGAGCTAGCCCTGTAGGTACCGTAGCCTGGTTGTTACCCCATGGATAAAGGGATCGAACCCGACAACAGGCAACTGGGCTAGCTCCTTTTGGAGCAGCCCAACCTTATGGCGCGGCCGTTTTCGGCCGTGCGATCGCTGAGATCGTGCGGCTGAAAACAGCCGCGCAGAGGTCTATATGGGCCTGCGTAAGGATGACACGTGTAAGAAAAATAAAAAAATAATAATAAAAAAATAAAAAAGTATATATATAAATTTTCGTCGAGTCCATAAGGACTTGAACTCGGATCTGTACCTTGATAGTGCGTGGCTGAAAAGCCACGCAGGGGTGAAGGGACGACTGTTGGCTTAAGCCAATAGGAAAAAAAAAAAAAAAAAAACCTAAAACTAAACTGACATGAAGCGCCACATGGCGCTATATGAAGTAACTGGGGCACTTTAGTCCCCAGCCAATGTGACAGGCGCTCGTTGGAAACGGTCAGCCACAATTCAGGTAAGTTCTTTTTCTTTTAAGATTTAGTTAGATTTTCTTTTTAAGATTTTGTCTAGATTTTTTTTGACTTTTTCTTTTCCTTTTTTTGAGAGATTGCGTGCCCGTTCGTTTGGGACGAACGAGCAGAAAAAAAAAAAGCATGACTGAGACAGACTGTTTCGTCGGACTTCCACCGACTCATCAGGAAGTTGAACCTCGACAGCCCATCTACGGATGGGCAAACACATCTGCCGTCCTAAGCGCCTAAGTTCAGAGAGAGAGAGAGAGAGAGAGAAACACAGCAGCCCACCTGCGCCCGTTGGATTTTGGAACGGGCTGCAGTGGTTGCCTGCGCGCCTGAACCTGGTGCTGAAAGCGTCCGGGTACGAGCGCAGGGCAAAGGGGGAAAAGAAGACCCTGTTGAGATTGACTCTAGTTCGACTCTGTGAAAGGACTTGGGGGAGGGACGTGCTCGTTCGTTTTTCGAACGACGAGCTGTCCCTTTTTAAAAAAAAAAACAAGGGGGAAAAAGGAAAAAAAAAAGTTGGAAAAAAAAAAAACGGCCGCGAGTCTAGCCGCGGCCTCGGTCCAGATGCAAGTTTAGAAGCATCAGGACTGAGAATTGACAGCAAACTGTTGGTTTCAACAATCTGCTCAGAAATGGCCGAGTACAGCCATTCCTGGGCTACGTCTGGCCGCGGGTGACAGCCAGATACATTTCCAGTCGCCAGAACCCAGTTCCTCTAGCGGAACAACAGGCTTTGAGGCCCTTGATTGCGTTTTAGATCAAGTGCCAGGCCTCATTCCGAGTTCTGGCTGTGGGCAAAGCAGTTGCCCACATGCTCTCGCCAGGCTATTAAAACCAACATTCCACCCAGCAGTCTCACAAGTTGTGGCAGTGCTGCTGAGGCATTCACTTGAGTGAATGCTGGCTGGCTGCTGCTGTGGGGCGGTGCTGTTGGTGGAGGTCTGCAGTGGGTGAGGAGAGAGTTGAGGAGGAAACTATCGAGGGGGAGGGCCACAGCTGTGAAGCATAGCTATAGCTACCATCTTAGTGGTGGAGGGGAAATGTTGCAGGGTCTGCGCAGTGACTGGAGTTCTGAAGTATAGGGGAGGTGTTGTTCATTCAGCGCGGGGACGACAGCGGGTTTATCTACGGTAGTGCGGAAGCGCTGCCGAAATTTTGCGGCGGCGGCTATGCTTTTTCGGCGTTGACGCGGAAGCGCTGCCGAAATTTTGCGGCGGCGACTATGCTTTTTCGGAGGTGACGCGGAAGCGCTGCCGAAATTTTACGGCGGCAGCTGGGTCTTTCAGCGGTGGCGCGGAAGCGCTGCCGAAATTTTTGGGCAGCAGCGATGTTCCTTCTAGTGGTGGTGTGAATGTGCTGTCCGGTTTTCACGGCACCAACGACAATTTTGAGAAGTGTCGTCAAGAGGGGGTGTATTTTGAGGCGGTGTTGACATTGTGTTGTCCACATATTACAGCAACGACGCCTCGACACGGTGGTGGCGTGGTGGTACGGGTAGCCAGTGRTGACAGCGCTGAGGCACTGAGGGGATTRCGTRYCARTGGGCGATCCTTGAGGGAGTGGTGTGGATYACTTTTYTGACAGTCTACTGCGGTGATCTTCTYAGTTGGAGTGTGGTTTATACGRCTTTCTTGAGTGGGYCGTTTGCTATCTTTGGTTCAGCTTCAYTCAAGGTCAGTWAGCCTGACTCAGTCCTCTTCACACCWGTGTGAACCCACACTTGCTTGACCCTGTTCTTTGAATGTTCACTGAAAAGGTAGARGAAGYTGTGTTTTGTTCGCACGTGTGAATGAAAGTCTGACATGAGTTTGRGACTGCATTGTTYTCWTTTGAACTTGTTGTTTGATCTGATGTGCAGGTRAGTAGTAGAAGGATRCTTGAAAAATGAAGATTATATCATGTCAGCGAAAGAGAATGGGATAATGATTGTTTTCTATTTTTGCTTGCATGCATGTTGAGAGGATGAGAAGACAGCAGACGACGAGAAACGGAGCGATCACACAAAGGGGAAGAAGTGAAKTGGACATAGATTTTTCCCTTGGGTTGCCCATTCTTTCCTGAATGACCCTCCTCGTCTATGCCCTTCCATCTGAATGTTTTTCTTCTCTATGATCCCTTTCTTCGTCTAGGTTCGCCCTCGACGTTAGGCGATGAAGGGCTGACCGTTCGCTGTGGTAAGTGCATTTCCTTTCCCTAGGAGGCATCTGAGGCAGGGGTTCGTTGCCTTAGGGGCCGACCCTGTTAACAACTCGGAGTGGACCGCTTGGGCGGGGGGATACCATGCTGTCGTGGTAGAGCCAACCCCACTTCTGAGATCCGGGGTTCGCTCGGGCAAGGACGAGGGATATCCCAGACCACCTCCTAGCGGATGGACGTGCGCTATTCACAGAAGGCGTTAAGTTCTTTACGACTCACGTTAAGAAGAACCGCTATAGTTTACCCTTCTAGTGGCCGTCTTAGGAGCCACAGATAAGTGAGGAGCTGCCGCCATAGGAAGCCCAGTTCGTGCGATCACTGGCTATGGACGGAGTGCGACTAGGCACTACCTTCGCGGATAGGGTTGCACCATAAGAAGTGCAAGCCTGGGACGATCAGACCAGTTGACGGAAAAAATGTAACTAAAGCATTGCCTTGAATATCTTTATATCGCAGACTGGTAGTTCATCATCCGTGAGACAGAAAAAGTAATCATTGCTCAGGAGGACGAAGCGACAAACAAAATTTGAAAATGGATCATTGACCTTAATGAGTCAGTCAACGTTCGGCCGTTCAAGTCGAGTACTGACTCGTATAGTGGTAGCCGGACTACTTGCAAATGACATTCACACCAAAGTTGGAAAGGTAGTGATGTCATCGCGAGAACAGTGTGATCCTAGCTCTACTTGAGGGTTGGGATATCCGCATTTCCATGCTTGCAGTCAGCATGCGGTGGAATGAAAGAACTCGGCAACGCATCTCATCGAGTCGGAAAAAGTCGTGACAGTCCAACCGTCTGACAAGTAGAGTGTAGATACTTTAGTCGGATGTCATTTGAGCTTCGCATCGTGTATAAGTCATGCTTTGTCCTTTTGTTGATAAATGAGGTCCGAAGGCGAGTCAACTCATGTGTCCCGTCGTTGGATGAAAGTCAAATCAACCCTTGTCAAATTGATCGGGGCGAGTGGTATGCATGGCTGTATTATATACAAGTTGATCTCAGAATATATGTCAACTTACGTTGACCTGAGTCTTCTGTTGATGTTTAACTTTAGATTGTCTTTGGAAGAAGGGACTAGGATTGATTGAGGTTTTCTTACGCTTGGAATATCACGTCCTATTCGACCGACGTCGTTCCGATTCCTGGGAGATCAGCGCCTCAGGGACGAGCGGCGTTCGGGTCCACTTGGCGTTTAATCATGCGTACCTATGCTACAGCGAATGAGCAAACGCCCTCGGCCGGCCTACCTCTGCAATTGCATTATAAAAACTTTCGCATGTGGGTCAGTAGCTCGGTAGGGATACGCCCCCAAGGGTGGTGACAGCCCCTTAGGGAAGGTAAGTTGTGCCCCGCGAGAACCTGTCCTGTCGTAGGGGACCGCAGGATGTATAGCTGGCGCACTCGGCCGGAGCGGCGAAGGGTTGACGAGGGTTGCCGTGTCGTTTCTGAGTTGTCTCTAAAAAGTTAAAAGCCTAAGTTTCTCCTGCGTGACGCGGCCGGAAGGACCCTCGCCCGCGCGGGGGCCGATGCGCTCGACAGGTGGCGCCGTTGCCGGGGATAACGACAAACTACCGTTGTCCCTGGTGGAACGACACTCGGGAATGGAGCAAGTAAAATATCATGTCGTAATGGTTGTCTAAGACAAAAGGTTAGTAATCTTTGAACCTCTATAAGTGTAAGGAAGGAACCTTAATAGATGCTACCAAACTCCTAGACTGATTTCTTGGGTTTATGTTTTGGTCCCTAGATGGCCGGTGCCGCAGGATGTCGCAACAACGACGACGATGGGAGGAATGGCATTCAAGAACTGGCACGGGTCATCCGGCAGTCGCAGCGAGAGCCCTACCCTAAGATTGATGTTCCGTTGTTCGACGGGAATCATGCCTCTTCTTGGGCAGACAAGTTCGAGCAATTGGGATATAGCAACGAATGGACAGATGAGAAGATGCTTCGCATCGTTAAAAGATACTGTCAGGTGGGGTACCGAGACGAGATCGATGAGCTGGTGCGAATCTCTCATGATTGGTTAGATTTTAAGGTGCCGTTGTTGGGGAAGTACCAGCTCAGCGACCGGTTGCTCGACCAGCAAGATTTGAGGGCAGTGGATCGTAAAAATTTTGGTACTACCAAACAATTTTTATCGGAATTTGAGCGTGTGGCTCGCCTAATCCCGGATCTGTCCGACAAAGATCGCTGCCTTATTTTCCTTGATAACTTCAACGACGTCGAACAGTCGAAATTGGTTGAAGGGATGCAAGGGAGGTATGACTGGACTAAGGTCCGACAAAATGCGCTGGTGGGGAAGTTCGACGATATCCTCTACCGGCTGTTGAGGCAACAAAAGGAGGAACGGAAAAAGGTGAAGCTGGGAGAGGTGAAGGACGGTTAGATTTACAAAACTTTGACCTACATGAGAAAAATGATAGAGGGCATGAAGGAGGAAAGGCTGAAGTTTCAAGTCATGTTGGCCAAAGAGAAAAATAGTAAGAGGAAGGGGAAAGAGTCGGCGGAAGAAGAAAGCGACAGTGAGAGCGAGGAGGAAAAGGAGCCGCCTCGCAAGTTAACAAAGGCGGAGAGGAAGGTCTTGAATCAAATTCGAGGCGGACAGGGGACCTCTCGTAAACAGGGGAAGAAATGCGGACAAAATAATCAAGGAGGGAATGGCGGTGCTGGCGGTGATTCGTCAGGACAAAGTTCCCAAGATCAAGAGCAATTTCAGCCGCAGGGTGGAAGAGGCCGCGGTCGAGGCCGTGGGAACGGACAACGAAACCGTTAGGCGTGGCAGCAGGAAGCCACTTGTAACTATTGCGCAGAAAAGGGACATATTATGAGATTTTTCCAACTCCTTTCAAGAGATGAGAAGGAAGGAATTGTCTTCACCACGATATGAGGTGAAGTCTTTGATTACGAAGGGAACCTGATCAACCCCAAAATTGAAGGGGGTATGAGGAAGGAGGCATTTCGCTGTATGGATCGTCCTCTGTCGGCGACGTTCCAGATTGCTTCTCCTGAAGAAGTGCGGTTGGCCGGGGTCGAGGAGACCATGGCGTCGTTACATGTTGGCGACTCGTCGGCGGAACCAGGAGGGTTTAGGGAACAAGTGGTGGAACGAGCGCAAACCATCACGAGGCGGCTTGCCCGATGCCGGGACTCTATCATTCGACTTTCCGTGGACATGGAGGAAGTCTGGCCTGGATTGCCGAATGTCTTTCGCTTCGGCGAATGGGGTGATAAAAGGGAAGATACGTCTGGCCAAGCAGGGACGTCTGCTCCGAGAGAAGCATCGCAAACTGGGCCAATGGTAAGCACGATGCGACCTAGGCCTGTGCTCAAGAGGAGTGCTCCGACCGTAGCCGTTCAGACTCGGATGCGGTGATGAAATGAGCAGCTTCAGAAGGAAAGAGAGTCTGGAAAGGTAGTGGAAGAAGAGCCTATCCCCGTTAGTGAGAACGATGAGGATAATGAGGATGAGAAGTTGCGGGCCGAAGAAGAAGAACGGGTTCGTCGTCGTGCACTGGAAAGGGAGCCAGAGAAAGGGAAGGCCGAAGCAAGCGAGGAGGAGTCACGAAAGAATAAGAACGTTTATTCGATCCCCGTGGAGCAGGGGGTCGATATCGAGCAACTCATCAATAAGATTCTGGAAAGTCAGCGCGACTTGGTCACGCTGAAGGAAATTTTGGCGGTATCGCCGAAGATTCGAGAGGAGTTTAAGCAGCGGATGACTCGCAAGAGAGTCATGACTGTTAAGCTCGGCGAAGTCATTCCGCCGGAAGCTAACTGGTCCCCGCCTGGGACGAAGATGGCATGGCGAAGTGTATCAACCGGCCATATGAAGGTCCAGATTGGACAGCAGGAGTACTCGGCACTTGTGGATGATGGAGCTGAGATGAATATCATTCGTGGGCGTCATACCATTGAAGCTGGGTTGAAGATCAACAGAGATGACTATGGGTTTTTGGTGGGTGCTAGCGGATCGACCCCATTCTGCGAGACAGTCGGTGGCGTTCTCGTCACAGTCGGGAAGGTCAAAGTCCGCTCTTATTTCTACGTGTTACCTAGAGTGGAACACGAGGTGCTTCTGGGAAGGGCGTTTCTATATCCGTCGGAAAGCATCATCATTAACAAGCATGATGGAACCATGTTTGTAATTCTTTGCGATCCTGTCTATGGTTATTACGAAGTGGTCAAGTGTGCGAACACTGAACCCCATTGCTCGCGGAACCGGTTGAACCCGGAATCCTATACCTTTCCGGAGTCAGAGAAGTTGAGAAGGGAGAAGGAATCACTAGGGGAGGAGCCGAATCCTCGTGAGTTCTCGCTGACCCTGCCTGATATTGGGCAGGCAATCGATTTCGTGTCGACACATGCGGCGATTGATCCAAATGTGGTGCAAGCCTTGACGAAGATCATCACGGACACCAGAAGCGCAGGAACTATGCGCCTTGTTTACTCCCTGTTGGAGGGGAATAAGGGAGAAGATCAGGAATTGTCCTCCACTCGACAGGGTCCTTCTTTAGAGGACGCAGGCTTGACACCGACGCCAAACGTAAGTACAAGAAAGTAGGCGTGAAGGCGAAGCCGGTACCTGTTCTGATCACTCACGAGGAGGAAGTCTATTATCGTGAGGAGCGTGAGTGGATTAGAGAAATGAAAGAGAGAGGTGAAAAAGGGCCTTGTCAGTTAACCAAAGAAAGAGTGGAAAGTATGATTATTGGGGAGGAGGACCTCCTTACTGAGCAGGAAAAAGGGTATATCATCGATATATTAAGGGAGGAACATCTCTCCTATGCGTTTGATGATGATGAGCGAGGAAGGCTGGATGTCGATAAAATCCCGATGATCAGAGTTCATACTATACCACACGAGCCATAGAATGTAAAAGGGCCACGTTATCCGAATCCGGAGGATCACCGCTAGGTGGTCGCGTATCTCGATGGAAAGATCCGGACAAAGGTTGCAGATTATTCTTATGGGCCATATGCATCTCCATGGTTCTGTTTCCTCAAACCGAATGGTACTCTGCGATAGATTCAGGACCTTTAGAAGCAAAATTCGGTGACAGTGCGAGATGCACGTGGACTTCCACATGCAGACCTACTATCGGAGTCTTGTGAAAGGGGGTCTATCATCACCCTCATTGATTTATATTCCGGGTATGATCAATTTTCCATTTACACTGCGGATCGGCCCAAAATGGCGATGCATAGTCCTCATGGATTGATCCATATGTGTGTGGCGCCGCAGGGGTAGACGAATGCAGTTGCCATTGTTCAGAGATATATGATGAGGGTAATGCAACCTTATTGTCCTGACATAACTTCGCCGTACATTGACGACTTGGCTATTCGAGAGCCTCGAACAAAAGACCTGACGGAGGTGTTGCGGGGCATTCGCCGCTTTGTATGGGAGCACATCAATGATGTGGTGAAAATCCTTAAGAGATTGAAGGAGTTTAATCTCACAGCTAGTGGGATTAAGTCTCGACATTGTATGAAGAGAGCAATGATCTTGGGATTCCTTTGCGACGAGAAAGGTCGCTGGCCGGATGCGAAGAAGACTAATAAGATCTTGGAATGACCGACCCCTTTCAAGTCGATCACAGACGTGCGAAGTTTCATCGGAACCTGTGGATTTTGACGCATCTTTATCCGCAGGCTTGCCGCCAGAGTGGAGCGCTTGCGAAAGCTTGTGCGCAAAGGTCAGAAGTGGGAATGGGGTCCGAAGCAACAAGAGGCCGTGGAGGATATAGAGGCTGAGTTTCGTGAGGGCGGATTGATCCTTGAAGTTCCCTTTTTCGATGATGATGAGAAACGTCCTTTTGTTATTGAGACCGATGCGGGGCCCACAACCCTAGGAGGGGTCTTAGTTCAGAAGGACGCTGAGGGGCAGGAAATGCCTCTCAGATTTGAAAGCAGGACTCTGAATGTTGTTGAGAGGAACTATTCCCAGTTCAAAAAGGAAACTTTGACCGTGCTTCACTGCTTCCGCATCTTTCGGAATTATGTGTTTGGGGGACGCTTCATCATGCGGGTAGATCCAACTCCTTCGGCTCAATCCTTAAGGACTTATTCACCTGTTGATCCCACCATTGCACGATGGTTGACTTATATTTGGATGTTCGACTTTGGAATCGAACGGTTTTCGGGGAGTCAGAATCGCGTTGATGGGCTAAGTCGGGTTGAATGGGATCCGGAATCGGATCAGGCAGAAGAATCAGTTCCGGTCGATGCCTTTCTGAAGGAAGAGGAGTCGAGATTGAGTATTAACACTCTTGCCTACCTGACTGATGCAGCCACTTGGCATGGGAAATCGATATGGAATGCTCCTACCTTTCACGAGGTACGTCCAGAACTCGTGGTGGAGGAACCTTTCATTGAGGAGGATCCATGGGGTGAGCAGACCGCAGAGGAAATGATGAGGCTAGCTTTGACCGATGACATCGACCTTATGCTTGATCCGCTAACAATTGAACAAGGTCATACGCAGGCTGACAACGCTTTCGAGACCGTTGGAATGATGTCGTATATCATGAACTTGTTGGTTCATGAGGATCGCCTGAGGTTAATGAATGCGGAAGAAGGAAGCAGTGAGGTCAAAGAAGCGTTTAAGGAAAAGGAGTACGAGGGGGAGTATAAGGAGATAGGCATGTGGTTGAATGGGGAATTGGACGAAAGCGAGGTTGATCCGGTTGTGCGGGAAAAGAGCAAAGGATTTGTTGTTCGTGATGGTCATATCTTTAAGAAAGATGCCGATTGTGTCCCCAAGAGGGTGGTATGCGGAACCTTTCGACAGTTGGATGTGATCGCTGCCTTGCATGATGGGGTAGCCGGCGGGCACAGGTCTGCGCGGGTAACTCTGAACAAGATCCAACGTCTCTATTTCTGGGAAGGGATAAGCAAGATGGTGATTGACTTTTGTAAATCTTGTTTCCCTTGTCAACAGAGGTCTAATATCCGCTACCTTGAGCCCCTAAATCCACGTTATGTGGCAGAACCAGGTGCGGTGGTGCATTTGGATCTTCTGGTAATGCCACCTGGTATAAATGGCTATAGGTATATCTTTGATGCACGAGACAATTTGACTGGGTTCGTTGATGGTCGTGCCATTCGCGAGCGTACTGGGTCAGTCTTGGCGGAGTGCATTGAGGAATATTACTTCCGTTATCCATTTATTCAACAGATTGTTATGGATTGAGGAGGCGAGTTTCGAGCAAAGAAGGTGCAAACGCTTTTGAAGCGACTTGGGGTAAGTTTCAGTTATACGACGAGAGCGCATCCCCAGGCCAATGCACCCGTGGAACGAGGACATGCCACCTTGTCTAACTTGTTGGCGAAATGGTGCAAGCGGGAACCATCAAGATGACCAATTTATTTGAGGGCAACCTTTTTCGTTGAGAATGTTACCATCAAGCGAACAACCAGGTACGCTCCCGTCACATTATGGTTTGGATGACATGCGACTTTTCCAATTGAAAGTTTTCTGACCACTTGGCAAAAACAAGACGTGGAAACGAAACTCTCGACAGAAGAGTTGTTGCAATTGAGGGCAAGACAGATCATGGTAACTGAAAAGCGGATTGAGGATGCGGCTCTCTCTACTTCCGAAAGCAGACAGGCTGACAAGGAAAAATGGAACAAGAGGCCACGTGTACGAAAAGAGCCGTTGAAAGTTGGAGACATCGTCTTGTTGTATGATATGTCGTTAGAAAAACAGTGGTCCAGAAAACTAGACAGTCGGTGGTTAGGGCCATATCGGATGACTAGGAAGACAGAACATGGGGCATATGAAATAGAGGAGTTTGATGGATCTCGGAGTAGGAATTGGGTATCAGGTGCACATCTACGGAAGTTTATCCCAAGAGTTTAGTGAAAACTTTTAGAAAGGAAAGGGAGGTGAGGTAATTGGTGGCATCAATTTTGGTAACTTTCTTGCTTTCGTATTGTGGTCCAGTTGGTTCTGACTTTTGTCTTAGGCTAGCGAAGGGAATTATAAACTACTGATAAAAATAGTGAGATTGAAAGGTTATCAATGGGATTGTGATTCCTGTTGTTTTGTAATAATGGATTTGTGCCTTAGTGCCACAGACAATTATAAGATGACTATGATATTTTTCTCACAATTGTCTCTATGCATAAGAGGTATTGCATACTGGTTGTAAAGTAAAAGAGTGATACCAAAGGACTTTGTGATATTTTTATCATGATTGGATGTTCATTGCAAGAAGAATCTTGTGAAATAGCAGATGAATGTTTATATTGTTAAAGTATTCATCACATATGTGAACGACTGAAAAGCCTGGAATTCCTATGAAACTCCGTGTATGTGGTTATGAATGTGAGATTTCTGTGAGTGCATGTCTAAGGAGATGATGTGTACTTGAATCATATGCCTGGCCAGATTAACACATGTTATTCGTCGGACATGTGATTCAATTGCTTGCCATGCCTTATGACTTGGTATTGTTTCGACTGTCATGCAATGAGGAATCCTAATGTTATGAGCCCCGTAGACGGTGGTGAGGCATGCGTCGGAACTTTGTTACTGGTCCATAGCGGGATGTTGTCATCTCTCCTTTCGAGGAAAATGACCACACTATCGTCGAAAGGGAGGAAGGTGGTAATATGTTTGTTGGAACCTTGCTGGAGAGGGTGGCGATTACTGCTCGCCATGAGAAAAAGATTGATCACCTTTTGTTTTGTGGCGAATGGGGTCGCCTCAACTTTATGGTCGGGTCTGATCAGCTTAGGTCATAAGGGAGGGGTAGTTCAAGCTTGCAAGTAGGGTACTAACAAATGTATGACACTGGAATCGGAGGGAAAGTGGTGAGGCTCAAGTCTAAAGCGGGGCTTGACGTCGAGATGTTATTCTCTATGGATTACACCACTCCTCGGCGCATTCACAATACATGTGGGAGATAAATCGTGCATGACAATTAAGTTGGAGTGGGAATTAGCCGGACTGGACAAGGACTTTTGAAGAGGGTGATTTCTCTCTGGGATGGTGCCGCCACATGCTGTAGTATAGTGTGAGTACCCTTGTGTTTAGTGGGGAGCCCGGGTTAAAACTCCTGGTAGCGAGAGACGTGCTGAGGTGTTAGGAATGCACCCCCACGAACATGGGAGGCCCAGGTTAAATTCCTGGCAGTATGTGATGTATGACGAAAGACCCGCAGAGGGTTAAGCCTGACGAGACCTAGACAGGGGGTTATAGCCTGAAGAGAGTCCCATCAGGGGGATAAGCTTGACCAATCTACGAGAGACAAAAAGAAAGATGAGTGGCCGTCAGTGAGATGATGCTGGGATCATTCTTCTAAAAGGCTCTTGTAACTCCTCAGGCTGGGTAACACCGGTGGTGGATTCCAGATTCCGGGGAAAGGCCTGTCAGAGGTTATTTCTGACCCCATTCCAACTCGTGACTGAATGAAAGTGCTTTCGAAGGAAGGTTCAAAAGAATTATTAAAGGCTTGAAAGTAAGCCCTTCTCGTTGACGGTAATGAAGTATGCACAGAGCATTTCATAAGAAGAGTATCCAGAAGGTTAGGCAAGGAAAGAAAGATGAACGACGGAAACATCGCTCATCACGTATAAGTATGCAAAATCTGGGTTAATTCCAGAGGTATTATGACTATGTAATATATTTGGTGAGGTCTTATAAAAACTTCCCTTTGTATTGCCTTATGGTAAGCGATGGGGACGTCGCTTAATGGGGGCGGGGAAGGCTGTCGGGACAGAAACCCTTACAAGGGTTTCTGCCTGGGTTTTTCAAGGTCAGACACTGCCCGACCCTTGCTTGGATTGAAAGACTTGATGAGATTGACGTTGCCAAAGGTTATTCAGCCCAACCCAATAACTAAGAAACCTAAAGCCTGGCGTCGTTCACGCGTGACATCATTGACGTTCGTTCGAAACAGCGGGAGTCGGCAGTGCGGCCTGTCGTCCATGGTTTCCGATTGGGCCGCGGTGGTGCGCGGTCATGAAAAGACTAAAGTTAGACCTATTTTACCCAAAAATAATGTCGCGCGGCTGCTATTCAGGGCCTAAGCGGGCTAAAAAGGAGTCGTTGCGACGAGGATGGGACGCAGCGTGAGGGACAGTTAGTTTTAGGGCCCGCATGACTTTTGCGCCAAGGATCGGGGGTGATGGCGTTGGGGCCGGCTGGGTCGGGTAGCCGTTAAGGCCGTCG